CATTCCTGTTTGAGGTGCAGTGATGTTTAAGGGCCCGGAGATCACGATCATCCAGTAGAGTTTTACGGCCTTGACCCTTACGCACAGCGATTGTTCCAGATTCTCTGAATCTTTTGATGATGTTATGCACGGTTGATGATGATAACTTAAAAGTCTTTGCTATTCTACCCAGCGGGGTAACACCATTCTGGTATTGCAGCACTATCTTTCTGTGCAACAATGGTGGAATTGGTGATCCTCTTACCATCTTGGCTTCTGAGAGACACTGACACTCTGAGAAGCTCTTTTTATACCCAATCATGTTGTCAATTGACCTAATTAGTGTTAATTGGTCTTCCAGCTGTTCGTTATATGCTCAATTTCCTTTTTCCAGCCACTTATTGCTACTTGTCCCAACTTTTTTGGGATTTGTTGATACTGTGAAATTTTGAATCAACATATTTTTCCTTTAAAATGTTACATTTACTTAGATTAAACTTTTGATCTGTCATCTATGTTATATTACGAATAAAATATTGACATTTGCCATCTCCACATCATTGCATTCAGCTTTTATTCACTATTTGTTTAGTGTCCCAACTTTTTTGGAATCTGGTTTGTACATGAGGGCATCTTTTTTTCAAAACCAAATGCAAAACTATAGGCCTAAGATAATGTAACCCAACAAGTTTTAGGAGCATTAATCACTGTGTATATTAGACAAGTTCAAAATATTAAATTATGTACAAGCCATTTAGTTCTTTCACACCAAAAATCTCATTACCATTTTATGGGCTGCTCTGCTCAAAAACACAAACTTCATGTAGTAATCTAGGATTTTAAGTTAAATCAGCTTGGATAATGAAGAGCTGAGAAAATGTGAGTTATTTCAAAATAGGCTCTTTGAGCACATTAGAACAATAATTATGATCCAAGTCCAAAAGTTTTGGCATGAATATAAAAACAGACAGATGTATAGTATTTGGTTGTATATGAGAAATGACAAAAACAGCATAAAGAAATTATTGTGGGATCATAAAATACAAATTAAAGCTGCAAGCAGCATTGAAGGCCCTCGCAGTAAAGTGCCGCTCCGGCCATACTGCGACTGCAGAGCTCCAGCCACTCCACTCAGTCGCCATCGAGAATGCTCTCGTGACTATCCCGCACGCGTTCACCATGAGGCGCATTTCCTGAATCTTTGACATCGCCTTCCGTCCATGTCAGTACTAGTCCAGCTCCAGGTCTTACAAGTATACAGTATGTGAAATCCGACCTTCCAAACAGGAGTTATTGTGACTTCCTGTTTTGTTGCGAATGTTTGACGAGCACTTCCTTTATGCTTTTCAACATGCCGTGTGGTAATCAACAGTTATAGTTTCAGTCACATCTTACACAGGGCTAAGCTGGAAGAGGCACCCAATAATCGACAATCAATAATCAAGACTTGGATGGCTGCAAACTTTTTGAGTTTTAATGATCAGAAGACTGAAGACATTGTGTTTAACCCTAGCTCTGCCACTGTCACTGATCCTGCAAACCTGGACTCCCTTCAGCCATATCTACTAACAGAATAGTCAAGTAGCAACCTGTTTTTTGTGCGATTTGCTATGTCAGTCAAATTTTGGAATAAAGAGGTGGAAATTAAAACATTTGGGTTTTTTGGGGCCGATTCATCGATTGTTAAAAATAATCGGCAGATTAATCGATTATTAAAATAGTCGTTAGTTGCAGCCCTACAGAAATTATCTAATAGGAGGCTCGTACATATTTGCTTAGTTAAATCCAGGTGGCGACTTTTTTTGGCCAGGCAGTGTATATACTCAGGTTCAAACTGCACCTTTTTTCTTACTCGGTCCATTTGAGAAGCTGAAAACTTTTCCTGATTTGGGTCCTGTCATTACGTGAGTATGGTGGGACTGAAAGACAAACCAGCTGGGAAACACAAACAACGATAACAAAATAATATTCATATTCAGTTTAACTGAGTTGTTTTTCTAGGTTTGTGGCCTATTCAGGATCATCAGAAATGATCAGTTTTATTAATAACAACGAAAATAATAATTTGCTTTGCCTTTGTGTAGGCTTTGGGCCGGCTGTGGCTGAGTGGTTAGAGCAGTCGTCCTCCAATGCAAGAGTTGGGGGTTCAAATCCACCAGCAGTCACATGCTGAAGTGTCCCTGGGCAAGACACTGAACCCCTCATAGCCTCTGATGTGTGTCCCATCAGTGTATGAATGTGATCTAAAGCTCTGATTAGTCTCTTTAGAATGATTTGTTCAGTTATCTTTGTAGAGATCTAGTATAGAGCTGTATGATTGGGTCAATGAGGCACAGATTGTTGTAAAGAGCTTTGAGTATCTTGAAATAAAATAGAAAGGTGCTATATAAGTACAGTCCATTTACCATTTGTGTAGGTTTGTGGTCCATAAGGTTATTTGAAAGAATTTCTCGAGTTTCGTAGACAAGTTATTTTGCAGTGTTGGTGTCTCAGTCAGTGTGTGTGGTTTAGTGCAGACGTTTTGTTTTGCGACAGGTGTTTATAGATCAATAAACGTCTTTCATCTGTCATTTCGATCAAAATAACATTTTTCTGTTTCGTATAATCCATAACTCGTCTAGCTCCACGTCCAAATTCCTCTCACACAACCGCCTGTTTGTAAGATTATTTGTAGCTTCATGGCGACTTGTTGCTGGTCCTTCCTGCATTGAGGAGCAACAGCGGAACTGTCTCACCTTCACAGCGTCCACCGGCTGGCTCCTCAAACATGCACAGCTTCCACAGCGTACGACGGAGAAAGCTTCAGGTTTTAGTCCATTTTAAGCAGCTGCCGGATTCAGTCCGCTACGAAATATAAGTTCGAGTCAAGTTTTTGACCAAATCCGTGTACCTGGCTGCGCGTCATCGTGCAGGAAGCGGGCCAGCTCAAATAAAGTGGACTTCCGGTTTCAACCGGCTCTACACAATAAAACTGTGACTAGAGGCTGTTCGTGTACTTATAACATTTTGACTTTTACATACAGTACATGTTTTTTATATATATATATATATATATATATATATATATATATATATATAT